ACACCAGGCCATTGAAGATGGTGAGAAGCTAAATCCGAGTGGACTCGGAGCTCCGCAAGTTTCAGAAAACTTGTGATGCTTTCTTTCCGAGGCAATCAACTCACTGAAGTTGGCAGGAATTTGTGAAGTGTTGTTGGGAGAAGGAAGAAAGTGTTGGCCCCCCCAGCGACCCTGGCCTGCAGCATTGTGATCATTCCCAGCCGCAGTCCCAGGTGGCACTGACAACTGAGTAGTTGATGAGAAACGAAGAGGTGATGCTGTGGATGAGAGGTCAAGTGCTGGAGGAGCCACCTCTTCCAGACGTCTGGGACGTAACGCCAGTGCTGTAGGGACCTTTTCGACCACTTCTTGCGCTTCTGGTGCTGGTGAAACATTGGGTTGGAATTCAGGTGCAGAAGTAAGCCTTTGGACGACTTGCTTGAAGTTCACGGAATCCACCTTGTACACTTTCGGCTTCATTGGTGGCAAAGGTGCGATTGGCTTCTTCATTGGTTTTAATGGAAGTTTGCGGACTGCATGGAGGGACGAATAGAATGAGGATGTTGTTGTTTTGGGTCTGTTTTCTTCTAAACATTGTTGATACGCAGCGAACTGGCTCGAGGTGGAAGAGGAAGAATTGTACGAGTCGGAGGAATTCTCCATGCCAAGGTTTACAAATGCAGATTTTAGATATTTTATTCCAAAATTGTATACTCGTGGTTTCAGCTAGCTACTAGAGGTGCTGTATGGAGGAGGAGGAGGAGGAGGCAAGGGATGCGAGTCTGCAAGATGACAATCTATAACTGAAAAGGCAGCAGTTATAAAGAAACCAGAAAAACTTCGAAGGTTTGAAAGTCACAAGAAAAATTCAAATGTTTATTTGTCCTGGGCGTCGGCGGGCTGTACTGCAAGTGACAGGACATAGAGTGCTCAATTTTGACCATAACATTATATTTCGATTAAAATATAGTCACCCATGCCCGCTACTTTCTTGTCCCGAAATATTTGGAGATAAGGAGGATATACCGAGTCAGAAAGTCAGAAGTCCTACCTGCATCCTCGTTCCTCAAATCTACATCTATGACCTAGCTGCAGCATCTGAACCGGAGGACAAAAGGAAGGGTTTTATTTGTTGCAGTATGTGTTTAGAGTATGAGTTTAATTTGGGAATGATGACTCCCACCAAAACCCATCATCTATTCATTCATGGTCCCTTTTGCTGCTTTAGAACACCGGTTCGGTGTCAAAAGAGTTTAGGCAGGAAATGATGGCTGATGCAGTTTGCCATATTCTCTGCGTATAATAAGTTGAATAATTTTTTGTGCTAATACTTTGACCGAATAATTTATTCATACTGCTGTGCGATGTGGGCATGAGGACGACGGGGGTGGGTGCATTGAATATGTTATCCAACCTATTAGTTTAAATAAATTAGTGGAACTGCAAGTTGTGATTCTATAGTACATAGGCAGTGCAACAATAATTGGAGAAAAAATAAAAAGAGCCGCCTGATGTCACCCGAGTTTTGTTGCCATGGAGCCCAGTTATGTCGCTCTTTCTCAATAATCAAATACTGAAAATCTTGCTCCTCCTTGACAGGGATAGTCCTCATTTACTCTTTAGACTTGGGCATGGTTTGGCTTTTGTTTTGGGTCGTAATATTCATAATGCATCCGAGCACGGTGATGAATTTGACAGCCCCGTGTAGAAGAAATTAATGGCTTTTCGCTGGCCATATATGGTGGCGGCTCCGCCGGCCCTGCCATTAACGCTCACTCCACTAAAAAGGTGATATTGACGTCTTTCGACCTCAATTATCCGAGGAAGAAAAATTGAATTGCAACGTCCAAATCAAACTTTCCGTCCTCCTCTTCTTCTTCTTCTTATTCGAGTTACTAACATTATAGCATTTTTTGCGGGATCGATGAATAGCACATCAATATAGGTAGATTGGATGTAATAATAACAATGCCCTAGAAATAGATGGGGAATCGAATTATTGACAAACACTCCCAAGAGGGTGCCGCTCGATCGACTCAACTGGTTCGAAGCTTCTCTGGGTCTACGTGGTTTGAAAGTTTTTGTTTTTGCCCACGTAAATTATTTTAAGGATTGCCGTCACTGATCTCATACTCAAATTTTCGTCTTGAACAAAAGGTGGTAACTCCTGAAAAAGGATCATTTTGTGAAAGAAGTTAAAGGTATCGATCATCATATTTAGTGTATAAATTTAAGATACAATCTCCATCGATCTACTACGCAATTTTGTTCATTAACCTAAGTTTGCGTTGAAGCAAATTTAGTTTAATTAATCATCATTAAAAAAAGGGGGGGGGGGCCGGGAGAGTCTTCGAAGTAATTAATTTCTCTAGATTCTTCAAATATATAACTGTAATTGCTGACCAGAAAATGATAACACTTACAGAAGTGATATCCTGCTCCTTCATGTGTGGCTCTTATATTGAAAACACCTCCCATGGATTGATTACCTTTGCCATAACTTAAAATTCACATCAAAGAAGCAGAATCTTGAAGCTGTAAAAGAGCTTAATAAAAGGAATAGTGGAATCTTGTGTTTGGATTGTATTTTTCATGGAAAAATTGCTGTAGCGATTTGATGTATGTGAGGCAAAAAAGTAATAGGAAAATGCGATTACAGAAAACGACAAAACTTTTCGACGGAACACAGCAATACAAACAAGGTCATCATCAGTTATTACTGCTTTGGTTTTTTCAATAGTTTTCTCGAAGCCGCTTGTTTGCACTTGGAATCTAATGAACCTTCTTCTTTTTTTTTAATCAAATGAACTTGAGTGACCATAATCACATACTTAGTCCAAGGTGTAAGGTAATAATAATAATAATTTACGGTTAGTCCAAGTCCGAGTTCAAATAGCTGTCGGCTATTGAATGTGGACTTCCGTTAGCTGGCATCATGATCAGCAAGAACCAGGTTTTCGGATAGAATTGGGGTGGTTCAGGAGTTTGTAATCACAACAATTGCACATTTCAAGACAAATTCCATTTATATATGTTATGTTATACTGCGCCACATTTTTTCACAACGTGTTGTTGCACCGAATCTCTTGTGAATTTTACAGTACGGAAAAGGTTGGAAACAAGAGAATGAATGGTTCGGTAATTCCATCAATGTTTGTAATGTTAATACTTGTGAATTAATTCTTACAAATTAAGCCAACGAGTCAATTGAGTATTGGGCTATAATTCCTACAATCAAGAATCTGCCGAATTCAATCTGTAAGATTACAACGTAAATTTGGGCCCCCCGAACTTATAATGAAATGGCAAACCTTTTTGCCTTAAAATGTTAAAGACAATTAACCTCCTCCTTCTAACATATGTAAAGAGTATTAGACCACCAAACATGACAGCGCATGCCGATATGTTTTCCTTTTTTCATTTCTCCGTTCCCTGTCATTAGCAAAAATCATTTTTTTTTTTTATATTGTTTTTCTTTTGGGTTTCTTCATTACCCCACATAACAAAACCCCAGTGTCTATCGAAAAATCGAAAGCGAAAGTTTGGGAAAAATACAACAAAAGTAAAATCGAAAACCAATCGAGTTCTTGTATGATATGATCCCACTTGGCTTAAGACTGACAAAGTCCAGTTGGAGATCCCACCCAATTGTTTCTAATTTATGTCCTTCGCCACGTGGCTTAAGGCGATTCCAAAAAAGCCACAGAGATGGGGTCCTCCTGTTTTTCATAATTAAAATATTTATATGGTAAAAGATCTCTTCCCCTTCCAAAAAACGAAGAGGATTTTTTTTCAAGTTTTCTCTTTGCCATTTTTATAATCAGGTTTTGGGCAGACATAAAATGAAACTTTTCATTCAAAACTTTCCAATTCTTTTCCTTTCTGGTTGTCTTCTGTTCGCTTTACACAAACGATGCCTAACTTAAACCTTCTCGAATTTTCTCTTTTACCCTAAACTCTGAATTAAGTTTTGACAATCCAAATCAAAGCTACGGCGATGTAGCAACTTGCGCGTAGAATCTCTCGTAACTATTTGCAGCTAGATCTTTGTTGTCGACAATTGGGTCTGGCTTTTTATTCACGAGGAGGGGAGGAGGATTAACTGTTAGGGATCCACCACAATCCCTTCTACTCAGTATCTTTATTCTGGGTAGACCCTTTGGAAAATTTCACCAGCCATTGAACATCTATAATGATATTTCAAGAAAAGGAAGACGATTTTTTCACAGTCACAAAAATTTTATTGGTAACTTGATCGAGCTCCCTTTTTCCCCAATCACAAACCTATCTAAAACAATAGATTCTTAGCTCGGATGCGAAACCGTGCCCGTTCAACACTTCTTTAGCTATTTTTCTGGGTGGTTGACAGAGATCTGTGAGTAAATTAAGAGAGGAAAAGCTTCAAATAAAAATTGTGTAGATGAATTTGTCCCCTACAAAAATCATTTGCAAGCCAAGCCACGTGACATTCATTCCATTTGTCATGACGGTCAAATTACATGGAATGACACAGAGCATATAATTTGATTAATTCGGTGACATTTCGACTAAGAAAATAGTTTAGTGACCCAAATTAATTAGCGCAAATGAATAATTTAGTAACATCCTCAAAAGATTACACATAGGCATGCTATCCATAGCATTGTGGTTTCGAATCATTTAATTCTTCATCAAATAGCCTACCCTATCTTCAACCTTGTTAATGGTCGAACTTACATATCAACAGAGTGTTGCTCATTCAACGTGAGTGTTCCACATATCTCTATTAGGTTCCATCATGGACAAAAGGCAAGAGTTTTCGCTTTGCCATATTTAATTTAATTCCATTTTCCCCGACACTTTCCCTCCTTGCTTTTTTTTTTTTTTAACGTCTTGCTGGCTTGTTTAATTTATTACTCCTTTAGACCCCACAGATCTTCATCATTCGGCAGCACCAATATACTATTTAATTACACCGTCTCTGAGCGTGGGTTACAAGCTACGATATATACACGGCAAGCGTTGAATTTTCAAGTAGTGCAATAAGTGCAGCTAGTCAGGTATGTGCACCATAATCAAAAAGGCCGATAAACAAGGCAAATTCAGAACATGCGTTACAGCAGTCACCAGAATCCTGACTAGAGCCCGGGATTTCTATATCAACTGCATGAATAATTGCGCTTCAAATGTCGGTACGTATAACAGTATTGGTGGCATGGTGTATCCTGCTTCTCATCTCGCTCCATCTTTGCCCAGGAGCTTTAGTGTCAGATCTTCAGCATTAATCAGCGATGATGATTTGGCTGAGCTTCTGAGGGCTGCTTCCACCAGGGGCCTCAGGAACGAGATTGAGTTAGAGTTTCTTAGGCAACAGCGGCCCCCGATGGGAGGAGTAAGTGTTGTGCAGCGCAGTCATACAATTGCCATTGGAAGGATTGATGAAGAAAAGCCCTGTGATTTTGGAGAAGATGTAACTTTGAGAACAGAATATGCTTTTCCCAGAAGTAGAAGCCATGCAGTCACAAACAGGAAGGATTTTCTGAAGAACAGTTGAGCAGAAAATAGAAGAATTAATGGAAGGCCGGCTTTGCAATTGTTTTCCTTCTTCTCCTTGTTTAGACCTTCTCTGAATCTCTCTTTTCCACATTTTCCTTAATTTTTTGGTGAGCTTGAAGTTGTTAGTTCAAGTGGGAGCACTTTGCTCTAGGGTTGTTTTGATCTTGTGTATTTTTTTTACTGGTTCAATCAAATCATAGCATTGACAAGTCTCCAAATCCACATATTATAGTGTGTTATTTTGATGTGATATGGTACTATTGATCTCCATTCTCCAGTTTGTAGAAAATTGAAGAGATTTAAAAAAACAAGGTTTGCTTGATCTGTTTAATCTGTATCGAACGTAAGTCTGCAGGCAATAGAACAGTTCGAAGTGCTCACAATAATAAAAACATCAAATACTGATCGAATAGTATTGGTTACACCATTAGCTACATTTTCATTTGGTGCAATGAACCACACGACTGGTTCACGTATTTGGCAGGTAAATCATTGAAACTTTTCTTTCGCTGGTGGTTGGGATCAAAATATCATACATATTCTATAGATTAGGCTATTATTATTATTACATATATCGTACATATATCCCTGTTATTAACGTGCGTGTGTGTGTGTGTAATTAGTATATCTAAGATGTCAGTCGCTCACCCATTCTCCATCAACTTGTTGGCAGTAGACCTACCTAGCATTCCTCCTAGGGCTAAGCAACTTCTTTTTTTTTTTTTTGCTGACGGAGTGGGTGTCCGGTTCGATCCTTACGGGACCCGACTAATCCCACTCCGGCCCGGGAGGAGAGGCCCCATCCCTCTGAACACGATAACCACAGGACTCGGACCCTTGCGGGCACTAGACACCAGCTCTTAAGAAGGCTTGCTGAGACCAATTTCGAGTTACCCATAAGGGGTAGATAATTTGGTGCCCACCAGGAGAGGTGGTGGGTTACTAGGGCTAAGCAACTTATTGGCCTCATTTGGATTATTATTTTCTGAAATTTTCATAGAAAAATATAATGAAACAATTTGATATATGTGATAGAAAAATATGTTTTCGGAGTTATTTTTGAAGTGTGTTATCGTATATTCGTAAATAAAAAATAAGTATTTCAAAAATTGATGAATCCAAAGGGGCCTTAATTATTCTTGGACGACCTGTTTTGTTTCTTTTTCCACCCCGTGGTCCTTCACCTCCGGTTCAACCCATGAAGCAGGAAAAAAAAAAAAGGATTTTGGCCGTCTAGTTTCTTTTGTTTTTAATTTGCATGCGAACATTTGGCAGCCATTTCGAAATGCTGACAAGGAAAACATCCAATGCTGATCGATATAGTGGTATTGGATGCACCTGCCACCGAGTATCACAATCTACATTTCCGTTTGCTACAATATAAGAGCATACGGCTCACTGTATTTGGCAGGTAAAAATTCAATATATCACACACATTATACATATCGAAATTATGATACTCTATGTTCATGTTATTATTATTGTGTGTATATTTTTAATATAACTAGGACTTTAGTATTTCAATAAATATAAAAAGCCACTGATCCAATCCCCAATAACTTTCTGGAGATACCAAGTATATATGCAACTAATTACCTGCTCCTTTTTTTTTTTCTCTTTTTCCTTTTTTTGTCTCTGATATCATCACCTCCCATTCAACCCATGGAGCCAAACAAAAAAAAAAAAAAAAGGTGGATGTTTTGAAGCTGTCTAGTTTCTTTTAGTAATAGTTTTCAATTCGTAAGAGAATATTTGGAAGGTAAAGAGTCATTTTTGCTTTTCGCTCTTGCTGCTTACACGTCCAATTTTTATTTTTATTTTTTAAAAAAACCACCAGCACTCAATAACTATTAACAAAGTGACAATCAACGAATGTTTAATTGTACTCCGCGGAAAATATTTATCGACATTTGACGGGGCTCTGAACGTCGCTTTGCATTAGAAGCTTAAAGCAATGAACAAAGACTGTGTTTCTACTCGATCCAGCCTGGTTGACATCAACAGATCAATTTGATATTGCACGGTAAGTACAACCCCCTGATGGCTTGACTTCTACCCTTGATTTGATAAATAGAACCCATGGGCCCCGTTAATTTGCCAAATCGTATTACACTTTTCTAATAGTTTTGTTTTTTCATACATCTTCGAACCATACGGATGCACAACGCATCTATATGAATTTTAAAAAAAAAGTCACATATAGTAGCACATTGATGGGAGGTAAGATTTAAACTTTTGACCTCCCACTCACAATACATGTGATGGCCAACTTCTTCAAAGGAAGTTGGTTTTCTAGTAGATAGATGATTAAAATTTAAACTAATCATATGTTGATTTAATGCTTAAGATTGAGGTGTCAGAATTTAAAAATCATGAAATAATCCCTTTTCAACTCATAAGGGATTGAAATGAGATTTCGCGTATAGTGTAAGGGAATAAAATAGAATTAACCCATTTCAATTCGTAAGGGAACGTTTGGAAGGTAAAGACTGGTTTCTATTTTTATTTTTTTAATCTCACTGCTTACGCGTCTAAATTAAAAAATAATAAAAAAAAATCAGCATCACTCAATATCTATTAACAAATTGACAATCAATGAATGTGTAATTAATTGTACTCCGTGATGGGTCCAAATCTCATCGTATGTGAGATTGTGAGTTGTTTAGACTAATTATATGTTCATATTCATCCATAAAAAATAATAATAATGATAAAACAGAATATCAACACTAATTTAGAGGTAAATTTTTTGAATGCCTTTATCCCACGCCCAATTGAAAATCCAGGTGCGACCGCCTCCTGAGACTTTAAAACTCAACTTGCTTTATGAATCAAATTGAAATGTTGGATACTTTCAAACAAATAAGTGCATAAAAAGAATCTCACCAACTTTGCCTAGAACTTCTTCCTCCACCCAAAAAAAAAAACATTGTTTACAACTAAATTTGATCCTTCCCAGTCCTATATATGGATAAAAATGTTAGTGTTGTGTCTTGCAAATTTTTTCTTATCTTGGTCTGCCGGTACTGGTTATATCAATTCAATCTGTTGAAGCAAATACAAAGAGCCAGCAAACTTCTGGGTAGATATTATTGTGAAAAAAAAAAAAAAAAAAACAAAAGATAGCTGGGGAGTTGAACATTACTACAAAAAAAAAAAACAAAAACAAAAGATACCCACCAAAATAGCGAATCCTATAATGAAAATGGAATAAGACCCGCATTCTTTCGATTGTTGTATATAATACAACAATAATACCTAGTAGTTGTGGAAAAATTAATAAATCTATTTGTGAAGCAAGTTTGTCTTTTTTAGATTGCCGTCACGACCGACATAAGAGGGTAGAAAATTGGAGAATGAAGGCAGAGAAGTTAAATGGTCCTTTGCTTTTCTGGTTGGTACAAGCGAGCAGAGCAGCGTCTTTGTTCAGCATTTCACATTTGTTTGGAATGGCAAACATTTTGTTTGGAATTTTGATCTCAACACATTTCACATTCCATCACGAACCCAACTTTAACATAATCCCTCCCTGGCCGCGTCTACAAAATAGAATATACTACTACTACTAGTTATATATGGGAGATTGAAAGTACCAAAAAGACAACATTGGTGACATAGCATTTGAAGGATTCTTTGTTTGGTGTTTCTCGGCCTTGTTTGCACTTTACACAAACTCCTAATTGCCACGTCCATTCATTTACCCCCACCCTCTAAAGTTTAAACAAATACTATTATGTATCATGTCATTTTTGTTTAAACTTAATTAGTTATGATTCCCAAAGAAAAAAGAAGAGATAAAGAAAGGGAAAAGGAAAATCTAGAGTGTTATTCGGGTTGAACAATATTATTTCATCTCCAATTTAGAGAGAGATGAAAAGACTATTGATAATACAAGGCTTAGAAATTCTTTTACAATGTCAAGTTTGCCCTGTCGAAGTTAAATAAAAAAATTTTCTCAACAATTTGGATTCTCTTGGTAAGAATAATCATTCATCTAAGTATATATAAAATAAATAAAAAAAAAAAACTATAGAAGGGCGATTTTGGATGCGCACCACCTAATTTATTTCTAGTAAAGTCTTAAATAAGTTCACAAACTCCCATCGTCCATGTATGAAGAAAAAGATTCCAAAATCATTTCGCCAACTCCGAACCGATAATAAAAGAAAACTTACCATTTTTTTCTATTATTATTATTATTATGTTTTGGATTCTTTTGTTACGTACCTTTGCTTTATTCTCTTTTTTTTTTAAAAAAAAAAATTTATCTTTGCAGTTTTTTGTATTCTTGTGTTTCGTATCTCCCAAAGTAGGTCCTGAAATCATTTGCTTTTGTGGCATCCGGCGTCGTTCTCCTTCCCCTCCGCCGGGCAATCATAAAACTGAATCGGACGGCCGTCGAGGATCAAGTTGTATGATGAGATGAAGAGGGGAGACAAAAGACAAAAGTTCCATGAAGCCCTTCTTCAAATGCTCTATCCCCCTCCTCCGGCTCCAAGAGAAGACAACCAGGACTCAGTAGACACATTTACCCGAAACCCCAATTCGGATTGTGTTCCAGGTATCAAATCGTTGACTGAACCCCATCTGGATTTGGTGTTAATCAGACAATGTAGGGAGTTAACGATTTTGCCCTGTTCTAACGCGTCTGATTGATGGATAGACGATTTGGATGAGGATAGAGGGTCTACGGCATCAACTGATGCTGATGAAGGGGAAGAGAATGGGCCTAAGAAGTTGACAAGAGCTCAAAGAAAGAGGCTTCGCAAGAAGAAGCTTAAAGAAGCTGCTTCACGCCGCAGGAAAATTATTGGGCCACTTTTGCCTGATACGAGCGAGAATGGTACTGCTGAAGTTGGCGGTGGTGGTGTCGTGGAGGAGGAACCTCAAGGTGTTCGAGGAAATGCTGCTGAGAGAGATGATCATGCTCGGGCGGACAAGCCAGGTGAGATTCTTCTTTTAAGAGCGCGTGTAACTTTGAAACGGAATTGGCAAAACCTATTTAGCTAGTAGTAGAGTTCTTTCCGTTTGCAGCAATTGACAGCCTTGTTTTTTAGCCGTCTGATTGAATGCCCCGTGAACTGAATATTTGTCTAGAATCCGAAGAGAGGCCACTAGGCTCGAAACAAAACAAGCTAAAAGCAGAGAAGAATGGTCAAGAAACTGGCCAGTGAAAGCATGATGAACCCATCAAGCCGCGGGAAACAGC